CTAGATCGTATTTGGTGTACACATGACTTATCTTTCTTTTCCTCCCTATATTGATGGTCAGAGTGTGGTTATGACTCTGGTGAGTGGGGGTTGCCCTGTGCCCATCTGTTTTGCATCACTCCCACACTTACACACACACACACACACACCATCCTCGGTGGAGTCTGCCACTGTTAGAACTGCATGATACCCCTCTCATGTCACCTGCTCCAGATATTGACCCAGGGAAAAAAGGCTTTTTCCTGCACACATGTGACGTTTTCATTCAGAGCTTTTCTCAGTATGTTACATGAAATAACAGACGCAGCTTTAAAATCTACAAGTATTCTCTGTGTGCTATGGTGAAGCCACATTAGCATGTGATTAATATGTGCTGCATTGTCATCCTGTGTGCTTTAAACTGTTCAGCTTAAATATGAAGATGTACTGACTGCTCAGTGAGGTGCCTGCAAGTATGGCTCCTCCACTACAGTGTGATTAAATGGTGGCAGTTGAGTGACACCTGGGCTTCTTTCCACAGGTAGAGAATATGAAGGCTACCAGCCATTGTGGTTTCACCAGAGGAGGGACTCAGTCACTGGAGAGATAAACTTTGTATACAAGGGAGGTTACTGGGAGGCAAAGGAGAGACAGGATTGGAGCAAGTGTCCTAACATCTTCTAACCCAGGACCTCGCCACGGATCACACATCTCTTCAGACAGGGAACTGCTCGGCCTCTGATCCTTAAGTAATGGGGCGTAGCTGGCTTATGAGCCCTATGCGGACATTTGTGAGCGTGAGAATGTGTATGTTTCACACACTCGGATTACATTGTACCTCCAAATATACACTCTCACTACGATGGGGAAGAAGGGGCATTCCCCAGGTAGTCCTCTTAAACACTATACTGAAACAGCAGTGAGGTTATGTGTGTGGAAAACAATAAAGGCACCTGCACACTCCTGCAGTCAGGTGCTATGTAAATACAACCCACAATGCACTTTTCTGTGATCACCCCATTACTGAGTTTTACCAATTGGATTGAAATCCATATCGAAGCACCTCATTACGATAGTCTGACAGCTAACAGGGACAAGTGATAAAGAGGCACATGAATACATGTCATTATTTCAGTGGATACAAAAAAGATGCCTTCATTCTCTCTCTCATTCAGCACAACTGATTATGACTGCTTTGTAAATCTTAAATTAGTTCCCTCTTGATTTCATATGCTCATATTTACACTGTTTTTGTTGCTTAACAAAGAAGCTAAGGCCTGAACATGATGTCTGGAAATTTATTTTAGATTCTGTTAAAAATGATGGAAACCAAAGTCTCACATTAGACCCAAATTAAATAAAGAAGACATCATATAAATAACAACAGACAAAATATGTGATATAATCTTAAATTTGAGAGAATTTACTTTTTTTTTTAACTCAGCACCTGTTATGAGACATTACTTCTAGCTGCTTATTTTCACAGTAATATATTTTGCTGTTGTTTTTCATTCCAGCAGTTTTATTTATCACTGATATTTTCCCATAATGCCACTTTTCACCAAAAAAATCTTCTGTTTCTTACTCAAGACAAACAGGGCAGAGATAGTGATGTGGTTGGCCACTGGGAAAAGCAACATTGTGAAATAAATGTAAAATAAATATAGATTTTAAAATGACATTTTGAAATCATCTAAATTGATTAAAATATGCAGAAATATATTTGGTGAGAATGTTGTGGTTTCCATCTAGAAACAAGCAGTTAGTTTGTCCAAGTATAGTCCATGTAGACATACTATAGCTGCTTATCCATTTCATGTTTCAGTCATCTAATCATGCTTCAGAGATCTTCCCCTTGTAATAATGATAAGCAAAATTCTCCAGTGGTCAGTCCTTTAATTGTACAGTACAACATTACAACATTGAACACAAAATGTTCCGATCACTCCAGTAGGAATCTCCATCAGAGAGCTGAATAAAATTTTTCACTGTGGCAGACTGTCGGTTAGTACATATCCCTGTGTTGATGTTGAGAAAATTTCTCTCTGTACATGTACTTTGCCTTGTTCTCTGGTGCTCTACCATAGCAACACATACCACACCCTTGGTGACCATTTTGAGATCATGCTCACTGATCACACAAAGCAGTGTCTACACCAAATCACTGAGACATTCAGCAGTTACCACCCAGTACATCTGTCCAGAGAGTCCCGAGTGGCTTTAGCTGACAGGAAGTCAGAGGTTAGAGAAGCAGACAGGGCTGGTTCCTGTACAACACCACTGTGGAGTCAGCTTTAGCTACTGAGGACTGCTTCAGCTGTCACTACAGGCTCACCACAAATCACATATGTAATCCTTTTCTTCAGTGTTTGTGGACATGCTGATCTGGGATCAGCTCATGAAGGTACCCTCAATCTTTTGCCTTTGACTGACTGAACAAGGAATGAGTCCTCTGACCTGTGCACTACACATCTACGGTGAGAAGAGTTTGGAAAACCTCCTAGTATTTTTTTGTAATTACTGTTAGGAATGTAGAATTCAAGGCTGGAGGTATTGTAAGTACCATCTGGTCTCTCTGTGTGAATTTTGTGATAAAAGAACAATACTATAAAATGAAGAATAATTATACTAATATGTGTATTAAGTTATCTATATAGCATAGTTAAAACCTGAAAAACTGATTGAATGAGCCTGAAGGAATTGCTGTAATTTTAACTTTTAGTTCACACTAGTTCTGATATAATGGAGTTAAACCCGGAGGCACCCACAGTTTGACTGCAGATTCATCTTTTATATTTCCAAAAATCTGTCTTGACACACTAAAAATTATTTTTTATAAAGTCCTTGATACTAGCATATTAGTAAATGTGCTTCAATTATTTCATCTGATGTGCAGGTCATAAAGATGTGAAAAAATACACCACTCAATGACAGAGTTACGTATGATAATATGAGCTCTTAAGTGTAAATGATTCTTTACCAGTGAATTAATGATTTGATAAAGAAATGAATGAGTGATGTCATATTTTGCACAAAAATGCTTTTTATCCATTTACATAAAAGGTTATGCATTTGTTCTTGTCATGAGCACAATTTGATTAATCACTGAAATTTGCTAACAGCTTGTGAAAAGTACTGATTTTGCATAATTTTTTGGCCAAAGCTAGATGAGAGGCTCAATACCTCCATTGTGCTTGTAGCTAACCCGCCTTACTGTATTTTGAACAGACCAGCACGAGAGTGGTGTCAGTCGTCTCATCTGACTTTTGGCCAAAAAATAATAATTAAGCATATTTCTGAAAATGATGAACAATTTGTTTAATTTTACTTTACCGCTTGGGTTCTCTTCTTGCCTGTCTGTGTTACATAGTCTCAAACACTTCCATTAGCATGTACACAAATACAAGCTATTGACAGAGGATGTGCACACTTTTAATCACATCAAGGGTGTCACATAAAAGATGGACACTACTGCAGCAAGACGTTTCATGTTTGCTATCTTGAAAATTGTCTTTGCGGATGGATAATTTTGTATCATCATGCACAGCCATGACATTTAAAAGTACACAGATCACTGCTGAATGATGGTGAAGAAGTACAAATGAGTAGTTATGATTTCCTTTTTCAGCGATCAATGGGGTTCACTAGATTTACTTTAATATATTGTGTTTGAGATGATTTTATATTTGAGAGTACATATATTTTGAATGATAATGGAGAGCTCATCATACGTATTAATATATTTCCAAATAACGTGACCTCAGTACTTCATGGTGATTTGCCTGCTGAAGTTGCCTCACCGAGGGCCTGTACAGTATCGGGCAGCTGTAGCAATAACATGGTGACATGTAGACTTGTTAGTTCTCGGCTGTTGCTTCAAACAGAACCATTATCTGCCTCATGCAGAAAGGGAAAAACAACCAAAGTGTATGTGGAGAGTGTACTGTAGACATAAAAACCTCTTCATCTACTTTCCCCATGTCAAAGGGCCTAATGTAAACCCCTCTCATTGTTTCATCTCATCTCATCCTACTTTTAATTTGCTATAGTGTGGTTGTTGTTTTTTAACATTAATTTTAATGCTTTTATTTTCTGTTCTGATTTCTATCTTCTCATGGGTGCCATTATTCTTATATTAGTGTTTTCCTACTGTCTGTATGGATAATGAGCTTGATTGGTGTGCACGTGGGGCACACATTTCCTTCTCATTCAATGCTGCTCAGTTTTGAGGCAGAAGTAAACAAATTAAAATGGGGAGATTTTTCTTGCCTTGTCTAAACTGAACCCTGCTTCTCCTTAGACTGTGACTCACAGCTTTGTTGTGAGATGGTGGTGATGTTAATAATCTGTATGGTGATGAAAGTTATGAGACGCATCACAGCAGCGGCCTGGTTCTAGGAGGTCAAAGGTTATTGACCTGCCTTGACTACTTCGCTTATTCTCCCAAATATATGTACATGTATTCAGGTGTAACTGCAGATTCAACTGAGGTTTTGCTTCTTTTTTAAATTGTGTACTTTCTCCCTTAATTTATACTTGTATAACAATGTCTTTAAACAACAGACACAATAATAACAAAAGAAGATAGGATAATAAAGTTATTGTTGACACTGATTATCTGCTTTATTCTCTCTGTTTGGCAGCGTGAAGATGGGGTGAATTTATTTGGCATAATTGAGATTGTTGGTTAAATTTAGTATGAACAGTTCTCTCTCACTTCAGGCTGATCCAGTAGCCTAGATTCAAATAAAATAAACAAATATGCTGGATTTACTATTTCATTACCACAATTCAACCCTGGGGCCTTTGAAGCAACATTGAACTATACAGTAAACTGGAAACATACTGTACCTATTTAAATTGTACGGTCTCATTTTAATTTGCAGTCCACGTTTGTATAAGGGGTTATGTTTGCAGTGGGAAGCCATGATGGCTATGATCTATCCTCCTGAGCGCATCTCTGGGCGCTAATATTGCGGCTATGCGCGGGCGGTGCGTGGTCGCGAGCTGTTTGAGTGTTTCCATGGCAACCAGCCCGAAGCCTCTGTCCATCAGCTCTTGGTGCTGCAGCTGTGCACGCCACTCGGCACGTCGGTGTAAACCCCGCGGGTAGGTTATGCCATGTTTGAGGCGGTACGATGCTGGTGCAATTAAATTTGAGAAATGTTCAAATAATATATATAATAAGATAATTGTTTTGTCTTCACATAACCTCGCTACACCAATTTAGTGAAATTAGACCCAGTAGCTCCTGTTTTTCTGGTTAGCCGTGTGTTTTCGGTCGCATTAGTTATGTTAGAGATGTAACTAGGTTAACGTTGCTATCTTTGCAGTTGTAAAGTTCAGTGGTAAAGGCTAAATCTGAAAATTCTTCTGAGTAGCCTCAGCGAAAAAAAGGCTTAATTTGGCTACTACTTCTTTTTCTTTTTAGGCATTTCAGTCATGGCTTAACGTTAGTTAAAAATTTGAGATACAAAATCCTGCGCTGCAGTCCTGGCACAGCTACTGTACTTGATATCAATTTGGGGAGTGGGAGAGACAGAAGGCCAAATAATTTATAGTGACTAGTGCTGTTATATAGTGAAAGAAAAGAATATACTTTGTCTTGCTAGTAAGAGAAACTGTCTTGGTTTCCTGGACAACTGAGCAACATAACCCCACCCCCACCCCCGACTACTGATGACCACCCAGTCAGTTAACCACTGCTAGATACTGAAGATGCTGCGTCTGTATGGTTCTGCTGAATATCTGTTTGGCTTCAGCAATAGGACATGGCTGAGAGAAGTCACGAAGAAGTAGAGAGAGATGCAAAGGACACCGATGAGCTTCTTTACACTGGTCTGAGGTTTTACAGGCACTCATTTATATACATATCACTTTTTTGTGAATTTGTACCCAATCTTGACACCCTTTGTCACTGCCCTTGTAGACCTGAGTGACAACATCAGAGGGTTCGGACTGGACCATCTGCCTCTCAAACCGGACCACTGTGACCTCCTCCTAGATGCCATTGATGCTCAGCTCGGCCAGCTACAGGTCTGTGATCTTCATTCATTCTGTGTGCTTGTCTGTATGTATGCGTAATCAGGAATATCTTAAGAATATATTTATTAGGTGTCAAGTGTGATTAATGTATGCAGGTCCAACCCCAGAAACATCCAGCACTTTCCAGAGGGTGTGATTGCAGTAATGCGGGTAATTTATGACATAGCATGCACCTTATTCCAAATTCAGACTTTTTTTTAAGGTGGTTATATGCATTTCTGAATTTTTTCTAGCTCCTCTTGGCTGGTCTCGATGTCCAAGCAAAGACACAGGCCTTGGAAGTACAAAACAGACAAATGACACTCCCACGTCTTGTCTTGATTTGATACACACTCAAAGGATAAGGCAAAAATCAGGTAATATTTCAATATCAGAATAATTACAGGAAAAACTCTGATTTGTAACTGCTTTAAGCCAAATTATTCTTCAAAAATTGTCTTTTGATTGGCTGTTGATAGAGAAATAACTTGCAGGAGTAGCAATAACCTACTGTTGTTGAGTTTGCACAGATGAAAACATTAAGTGAAATAAGTAAGATCCATACATGCTCCTGCATAATGTTAGAATAAGTTGTATGTCTTAATTGTAAGGTAAGTCTCTTTAGTGCAACAACAGGATCAAGCTTTTTTCTTACACAGAATTATGCCATCTCTCTTTTGCTGTACTCCAGAAAGGAGCACCAGCTGCCAGGAACATACTGCCATGCATGTGGAAACTAAAATGAGATCAGAAAAGGAAATAGAGTCTCGGAGGGAGCAGGTCATCTGGAGGCTGGAGAGGCTACTTGGTGACACCTGTAACAAGGATGGGATTGCAGGAGAAATGCACCCTCCTTCAGAGAGTATCTGCACTGAGGACTTTGTCAGACGTTTCAGAGAAGAGATGGTGGAACTGGCATTTCCCGAGAATAATATGCAGCAGCTAGACAAAGAAAAAGAGTCTGAGAAGACAGAGGTCTCTGACAGCGACACTTACTATAATGTTCCTGCTGTCGAGACTGCTTATTATTCCCAGGCAAATACACCAGATCAAAGAAATGAACCATATTTTAGTGAGAAAGCAGGTGCTGGAGAGAAATACCAGTCCTCACAGAGGGCTGATGCAGGCAACAGTAAGTACTACCCTACATTTTAAAACCTTTGGAAGCCAGGAAAGAGCTGTCAAACATGCTCTAAATGTTCAATATTGATGTTAGTTTCAACACAGGATTAAGAGAAAATGATCCATCTGTTGGCCCATCTGTGTACCCCAACATTTTGATACATAGCAGATTTTCAGTACAAATACTTTACAGCTTGCCACAGAATTTGTTATGGATATTCACTGACGACTATTTCTAATAATTTTAAATACTTCCTGACCTTTCTCCTAGATTGAAAGTCCTGTCAGAAGTCCCCTTTATCAACACTTTTGTTCATATCAGGATATATTAAAGTAATGTGTTTATACGTATAGTGACCATAGGATTAATTTGAACATCCAGAAACTAACATTCCTATATCTAATGGGCATGTTGCCTTGAGATTTACTGAGAATATTCATTGATCCCTGTGGATGAAACCTTTACATTTGGGAAGTGAGTTTCTGCAGGGACCTTAGGCCAAAATGTCCATTTTAAGCACTCATATCCTGTTCTACAGTGAGATTTGTGGCACAGTCATGCTCTCTTTTGACTTGAATGACCCCCTTTTCTGAAGAGCCAGTATATTGTTTGTTCCAACAGTTTTGTAGTTGATGTTGCAGCCTTCAGGGCCTGTTAACTTGGTTCCAGACTTTTGTTCTTCATCCATTTACAGAACTGTTACACCTTTGATTCTCTCCCTTCCCCTTCAGCTTCTCATAAGACAGAGGTTGTAACAGAACCTGAAAGGCTACAGCACAATAACAGCCATTCTCCTAAGTCCAGGTGCTTGCCAGGTACCATAAACAGATTACATTTCCTCTATAAACCTAACTCATCATCTTGGAAATCTGTTCACTGCAAACAGTACCTGCAGGATACTTGTTTCCTTTATAGGAGTGCATGTGAGACGTTTTGACTCCGTGTCCATTGACAGCGACCTTGACTCAGTCTGCACAGAGCAAAGCAGGCAGCATATTCACAGGCAGCCGGGTAAGAGACCGCAACAATGTGGAGAAAAGTGAGCCTCATTTTTAAACTGGAAAAAAAAAACATGTTCAAATATAAATTATCACCATTTCAAATACAGCCACCAACACAACAGTTGACAGCATACACTGAAAAATGTAAGCAATAATCGATGAAAATCAAGAAATGATTGGAATCAAATTATTTAAATATAAAGAATCAGACAATAGTCAAATTCTTTGTGTGTTCAAAATACTTGGCAACAGGAGTACAAAAAATGTAAATCGGATTTTATATAATTTATGTGACTCTCCTAGGATGGCACGCACTCATTCGGTCTGTCACGGGCATAGACGGCAACTGCACCGACCAGAGTGGCTGTGATACACCCGCACAGGAAGAGAGTGGACCTCCATCTACATCAGGTAAAGCAAGATCTGACTGTGTATTCCTTTTTGAGTCCACAGTAATAAAAGAACTATTTAATGTCTCAGAATTTGCTGTTCTTTGTTTACAAAGTCCAGAGACACACTCATGGAAATCTACAAAACAGAAGTCCTTCTGCTCATAAAGCTCAGAGTATCAAGAGAAAAACATACAGGTACCCCAAGTCAATATTCAAGACTTAAACAGTGTTTTTGTCTTCTGTGCAGTCTTTTATTTTCATGCATTCAGTTTATACACTACCAGTCAAAGGTTTGGGCACACTTTCCTATTCAATTCAGTGCAAAAGTCAGTCTAAACTTTAGACTGGTAGTTACTTACATACTTGGCATTTTTGTGTGTCCCAGACTTGTATATTCTTTGGATGAAAATGACCAGAATGGAAATGAGAAAATGAACCACTGGACCAGGAGGTGCAGGTCTCAGAGGACATCAGAGAAGATGCAGTTAGATAGGGCAAAGTTGAAAGAGCGCCTCTTTAACCTCCAACAAGTAATGAACATCCTATTGTATTTTAATATATATATTTCAGTAGAATTTGAGAAATGCTTTTATGTTAGGTGTTTAAGTTCTTCTGTTTATATGTGAGATGTCACTTAACTGGTTTGCATGTTTAGAAATGTGAGAGGGAGGAGGAGGCACTAAGGTTGAAGAGGACTCAGTTAAAAGGTGTTGAGCTTTCCCTCTCTGAACTTCAACAGAAAAGAAAGGTAATGTGCAGCATGTTCAATAGAAAAGTGTGTATATTTGCCTCACTAATATTCACAGTTTATGGTTTATGCCTCAGTATACCTTGCAGGAATTAGAGCAACTGACTGCAGAGACAGCACAGATGGAGAAGAAGAAGAGAATTCTGGAGACCTTTCTGAGTGACAGCCAGGCAGAGAAGGACTCTATTAGGTATAAAATCAAATCCTGCTAATTATAATATACAGAGCTGTATACATGGTTAACATCACACTGCCTCAACACACATATAATCCTGTTCCTTACAAAGCAAAGTTCTGTTAAACAGTAATACAACAATGTGTATGTTGTAGCTGCCAGTTGGAAAAGTTGCAGAGGAAGAGAGAGTCCTGCCTCCTTGAGGTTAGAAACATGGAAGAAGAACTCGCGACTCTGAGTCAGCGTAAAGCGGCTCTAAAGGACAGATCCTACATGGAAAAGGTAAGGAAACCTGACTCAAGTAGTATGTCTTTCTATTCTTGGTTGTCCTCCATCATTCACATGTTTTAATAAGACACCTTTTTTCTTATTACACCACTTTCTTGCTGGTCCACTGTTCCACAAACAGAACAGTGTCGTCATGTCAGTTCTGGAGAGGGAGGAGATGGAAAGACAGCTGGATAGTTCAAAAACAGCACTATTCGCTGAACAGCGTCGTGCAAGAGAGAAGCTCGAGTTCATGCAAGAGGTACAGTATTAAGGTCTATTTATACTGATAATTATAAGTATAATGGCAATTATAAAGCATAACAAGACTAATTTTTTAACATAAATAATTGTTCACACTGTAAAAAAGAAGACATCTAAAAATAATAAAATGTCCGACGTTCTAACTACAACATTATTTTTAGTTATAGTTGTTTGATGTGAATGAGAAAATCCAGTGAAGTTTCACAGGGAGAAAGTTCAGATTTACTTTCTGTGTTTTAAATATGCACTGTATATGTGTTGACATTGTTAATCTTCGAGCAGAAGTTGGAGGAGACTTGTGAGGAGCTCCACAGGGCCACGGAGGCAGAGAACACACTGAGGAACAGGTGTGTTTGGTTGGAGGAGAAACAGATGCAGAAAAAGATGGAGATTGAGGTGGTGCCTTCTTTCATCATTCTGTTTTCTAATACAAAAAGACATCTTTATCCTTTAAGTAACTGCCACAATGTCAGCATCTACTTTTCTGTATTTCTTATTCTATTCTAAGTACTTTTGATGTTTTCTTTCTCTTAGGCACTTGAGGTTCAGGTAAGCAAGCTGCAGGCTGAACTTGGTGAATCTAAGATCAGGGTGGGTACCCTGGAGAAGATCTTTGCCCAGAAGGAACGGCAGCTGATAGATTTCCAAGAACATCGTAAGGCCTCACAAGCAGAAAGAGATGGACTGAAGCAAGAGCTACAACACCTAAAATCCCAGCTCTATAAATCAGTGGAGGAAGCCCAAGAGCAAGCCCATAGAATGATGGTAAATGCTGAGGCTTTCGCAGGGTCTTCTAATTCTACATTTTTTAATAGATCGTATATCATAATATATCACTCACATGCATCCCTATTTTTATAAATAAAAGTGTTACTGTTCTTCAGCTTATAATTGCAATTATATTATTGATCGACATGCTGACTGGCCAATGTGAGAGTTCTGGGCATGTAAATGGGGCATTTTGTCTACACATGAAACATGATAATACAGAGTCTACCCAGATAGCAGAAGACCATGTTGCTGGTTGAAATTGCGAACTAAATTAACGGTTTTTGGATCTTTTATTTGTTGCACTAATGCTTGGGTGGATTTTGTTCATTGAATGTTGTGATAAAACCGGTGTCCAGCTGTAGCCGTTTGGCTGCAGACAACAGAAAGGCAGGGAGTGTCTGTTCACTTGTGTTAAGGTTATGCTAATGTAAAATAAAAACGGCGGTTGCATTGGGTACACAAAATGCTTTGCTTTGTTGAAATCGTGAGACTTGGAGCTTTCTGACGGTGTATAACTTGTTCAAGTTGTGTTGAGAAGTCCGGTACAGACAAAAATAGGGTTGGTGCATTAATAATTATCCCAAGTGAGGGACAGTCCTCTGTAACTTCATGTTAAGTTTGGGTGTCTCTAGAAGTGAGCCTCTCTTATTATGGCAGGGAAAAGAAGACGAGGTCAAGCAACTACGGAAATCCCTGGAGCAACAGAAGGAAGAGGCAAACAACCGTCAAGAGGAGCTCCATGTAGATGCCTTGGAAAGGGTATTCTGATAATCCTCACCCTAAAATATACAATCTCTTTAAAATGATTGCATCACATTCATAGTTTGTTCCCTTCCAGGTGCACAAAGCAATAGAGGAGGAGAGGAGGAAGTGGGAGGCAGAAAAAGTGGAAGCTGTGCAGGTGCAACGTGGGATACTGGAAGAACAGAACAGAAAGAGTCTGGAAAGCATGAGGAGTGAGATGCAGCAAGAAAAGAGTAAAGCACTGGCTATTCAACATAAAATGATGGAACTAAAAACAGTAAGGTGACTCACAACCATGACATGTAACATTACCATCTCAAATAAACCCAAAATTTCTATTTTTGCATATTTCCTTTTTATTTGTAAGAGAGTGCAGGAGTTGGAGAGTGAACGCTGTGCACAGCAGAGAGAGCAGGAGTCTTTGCTGGCTGTTACGTGCAAATCACTGAAAGAGGGGCACCAGGCTGAGCTGCAGAGGTTGGAGAGACAGATTGGACAGGTGCAAGAGAAACATAGAAAGAAATCATTTGTAGGAACATAAAGAGGTGTGATGTTGTAGAAAAGTGGACACGGTGTGATCTGTGGTCACAGGAGAGTCAGAGAACAGTGCTGCAGCTTGAGCGGGCTGTTCAGCTGGCAGAGGGAGAGGCCGACAGGCTCCGGGTGATGCTAGAAGAAAGGGAGAGCAGCCATAAGCAAGTCACAGCTGAGCTGGATCGGCAACTCAGGCACTGGGTCCAGGAGCTGGGAGCAGAGTGCCAGCATCTACATCTCTTAGTGGAACAGAGTGGAGCCAAACAAAGTGCTGTGCAGCTACCTGAAAGGTATCATTTTCTGATCTAGCTTTCATGCATGTCTGGTGTAGGAAGAAATGAATAATTCATAGGCAGCATGATTTGTTTGATGATTAGCTTTTAATTCTGGCATCTTTGTATTAATCAGTCCCACAGTAGCTGAAGCTTTTACAAACCTGAGAACACTAAGAGAGCAGTTGATGCAGTTGATTAACCATCTGCACAAGGAGCTTGATTCACAGAAAAAAACCACTGAGCAGCTGAGACAAGACAAGGTATAGTTTGGGCTTGACATACTGCAGATTGTCTGGTGTGTGCACGTTAATGTATACAAGAACATATGTCTACAGTACTTATATTTTATCAGGAGCGAGAATTGAGCATCCAGAGACAACAGCTGAGGATAGAGAGGGATCAGGCCTTGAATTTTCTAAAGATGCGTCTAATTCAGGTATGAAGTCAAGCACACTGTAAAGCTAATGTTTGTACAAAACATCAGTTAGGGCAGTGGTTCCCAGGGGTGGGGGCTCCATATTTTTACCCACCAAAGGCAGTGGCAGCAGAAAACGTTTGGGAACCACTGAGCTTTAGCTTTTGAGAAATGTTATGCCCTGTGATATTTATGCAGGAGCACGTTGAAGAGTTGAGCAGTATGAACTGGGCTCATATGAGTGATGGAGTGGCAGCTTCTCTCCGCAAGCAGCTGAAAACCAAAGACGCAGAGCTCAGGCAGGTTCAGAGGAACATGGGTCAGTGGAAGGAACAGACTGCAGCTCGTCCAGCATGCGGTTTTGAAGAAGACTTGACAGCAGAACTGGAAAGGTAAAACGCTGAACTTGAAAATGGCAACCTCCAAACTAAGTTAAAATTCAGCCACAGCTTTTGTTCTGAGCATGAAGTGGTCATTTACCATAATTGTTCTTCATTATGGCCCAGAATCTTATTGACCCACACAATAGAAATCAAATATTCTGCTGTTGCGTATTTACGTTTTGCTCCAATTTTTGCTATCTGACAAATGCAAGGTGAAATTGTTATGAGGCAGGTCATTGGTTTGCCTGTAAATCAGATGACATAACTAGCCAATGTGCTGTTTAAACCATAGATGTAACATTAGTGTAACTATACATGTAAATTCCGACCTTTGTCAAGCAGTTAGGTTGATCATTCACACCTAATTCACTTTCAAATGTAGGCTTGTTTGTTTTTCAGAAAAATATCAAACACTCCAGTGGAGAGGCAGAAAAAGTCTGAGCGGTCTGAAGAACATGTGACTCTTAGTGCTAAGGTAATGGCATTGTTTTAATGTTCCTGCGTGAGCTTCTATGCATACCTTATTAATCATAGTGTAAATACTTGGTGTTCATTGTCTCTCTCTAATCAGGAAACTCTTCATTCAGCTTGCTCTCCCTCCCTCCATGCTGCCTCCTACAGCCCCTCCAATGTGGCTTCATTTAAGGTTCTACATTACCTCCAGAGCAGAGTGAAGCAGCTCCGTGTAGAAAACCAGGCCAACAACTGGAACCCATCTCCTCCAGATACAGTGCCTTTAGATTTGTCAGGATCCTATCTCGCAACAGTGAGTACATTATTTTAATAACAGGTTGATTATTGACTTCTCTTTCTGTGTAACCACTATAGGGCTGTCACTTTTCCCCAAAATTATGGTCAAACTGACACATTCATCCTAATTAATTTGAACAGAACCCCTATAATGTAATGCACGTAGCACGATGGAGATGAGTCCTCGGTATTGTTGTACTTCAGTAAGGCATCAGCTTTTGTGCTGTCAGAAAACCACTTTATCTTTGATAATATTGCCATCTGCAGTTTAGAACTGAAAATACTGCCACTCACTGTTTCTGAGATGCTTCTTTGTCATTATTGTCCAGTCGGCACAAGTTTCCTCGCTACTATCCTGTGTATTGTATGTAATTACTTTACGGAGAGGTCAATAGGACATGTAACTGGCCAATCTGACAGTGAATTTTAAGAATATCCTCTGCTGGACCACAAGGCAAATTGCATCAAATAGCCTGTTGCACTTATTGACAGAGTACATTTTTGGATTTGAACAAGTCATTAGTTTTTTGTTTTTTTTTAACTACATATGAACAAATATTCTAAACTCAAATACAAAGTGACAGCCCTAAACCCGTAACTGCATTTACAGCAGGCATACTACAAACATTAGTACTTTACTAATGTTTGTAGTACTTTACTTGTAATTTGCTAAATGGCTAAGTGAACTATTTTTATGAAGGCACAAAAATAGGAGTGCTAATGACGGTTATGCAGCACAGACTGTTTTCCAAACTTAAAGCTGATGTTCCTGTAACCATGCACCTTCTTCAGAGCTTAAAATACCAGAAGGGCCCACTTGTGTATATACAGTATGCAACCAGAAACATATAGATAAAGGTTGTATACAAAGCTGTGTTCTTTGATACACACACAGTATATTTCTGCAGCCATGCACCCTGAGGAAGGTGCATAGCTGCGAGGCCTGAAATGTATTTTTGCTGCCTCAGAGTAACATGGATGTGAACTAATGTGTTCACAGGTGTGATGGGTAGCTGTGTATTTTGGATTGGCTTCCAGTCTAGCCTGAAGTGAGGCACACAGATCAACAAGCTCCTGGCTACGCGTTGTTGGAGGCTGCACCGTCCAGTCCCTCCAGAAGTCCACTTCGCCAGAAGACAGAACACTCTGCTTTACTTCCAGCAGCTGTGAACACAAAAAGAACAATCAGTACAGCACCATGTACTGCCACAATACATGTACTAATGTAACTGAAAAATATATCACAGTATGACAAAGATTTTTTTTATGTGAACATAATGTTTAATTGAATCTTAGTGGCCCACAAAACATGTCTCTTCTGTGCAATAAAGAAAAAGTATTTAAAATAAGGTGTTATTGTGCCTATTTTCAACCTTATTTTAAATAAAACAACTGTTGAGCAGCTGAAATCCCATATTATGCAGAAACACAAAACATTTGTCTTTCAAAACTAAAGCAACTGGTCTCCCAACCTCCAAAACACTTAAAAGAAGACAGGATGCAACATAGTGATAAAGAAAGCCTGTTCCAACTTTTTTGAAACATGCTGCTGGTATCAAATTTAAAACAAAATTTCTCAGTTCACACATTTGATATGGGGTCTTTGGACTATTTTCAATCAAGTATGAGTTTTGAGATTTCAAAAGTCAGTTTTTATTTGCAGTTTACAGTGTCCCAACTTTTTGGAACTGGGGCTGTAATATAACATTTCCTAAAGGTGTTATCAAGGCTACCACAGTCTATAACTCTGCTAAACTTGAATCATTTCACTCACACACACACACACACACTCAATCACTGTGTGTGTGAGAGATGTTGTGTAAATCTGAGTCATAAGCATTTTAAGCTGTTTCTATGGACCACAGAGATGAATCATTTACTAATACATATGCTTAAGTTTGCAGATTAACAAGCAGGTCACAGTGACACAACTGAGAATTTGGTCACCAAGTTCACATTCCTGTTTAGTCAGTCAAATTTTATGGCTTAAGGATGTAGTGACCTGTGAATGAATGATGAGCTGATTTCACTGAAGACTGAAGATCATGCGAGCTATGTCAAAAACCTCAAAGCAGATGTTCTTTGTGGGAATTACTGTATAATCAAAATTACATGATGTTTAATAAAGACAATGCATTTAGGCCATGACCACATGGGGGCGTTAAACAGTTAATCTTGCTTCATTGACTTTGTATTGAGTGAAGGCACTTCTGACAATTCAGTCTTTTTACAAAAACCTGACAAATGTCTAAATGCTGCTGTGCTGTAGGGTGCACTACCCACAAGGCAAAGAACCCAGAGGTTTAGTTTTAAAAGGTGCCAAACTTGTCCCATAATCATTTTAGTCATCAACTAAATGCAAATTTTCCTCCCTTGTGCTATGTCCTAGCAAACTGATGTAGTTAGCTAAGGCTCCTGCAAAAATACCAAGATGCCTAACCGTTTTCCTGTTTCTGCTAATGCCTCACATCTTATCCACTTTCGTCTTCTTAAAGCTTTGTTTTTTCCCTGGCAGTTTCTAGAACTTTAACTCTGTGTTATTTGCCTTATTAGTAGTGCATCCTGTCACAGAGTTACTTTTAGACATTTTTCATTTTTTGTAAAAAGACAGACTTGTCAAAAAGATGCCTTCATCCAAAACAAAGTCAATGCAGAAGAAGGCCTTGTCCCATCCATGGGCGTGGTTTTCAGAGTAGGACGCATTAAGCTCTGATTTCCTGCAAGTTCAGGTACAATAGCGTCATTAGCATGTATTATGCCTTTAAATGTCATAACTTTGTGAAAATGTGTCCTCTTACAAAAAATGACTGACACTACTGCCATATTGTTAAAACATGGTTTCTTATAATCACATTTGCTACCATACTTACCATATGTGTTTTCCATTTGTTAGCGTTGATCAGAAGGATGAAGTAGTTGTGTTGTCAGTTCGTCCTGTGGTATCAAAAACGTTGACAGGAGCATGTTGGACCAGCATGTTAATGATATCCCTTTCAAAGCAACATCACTGTTTTAAGTAATATATTGTCTTTACTGAGGATCAATAAAGACAATCTTGGGAACCTTACTCTTTCTAATGGTATGTCAATATAAAAGCATTACAGTGTTCACCCAACAAGGATTGCTTTTAATAAATTCAAACTGAATTTCATTCAATAAAGACTGACTGTGCAGAATTTCTACATGGACAATGTAAGAGATTGCTGCTTAAAAACAAGTATAAAGTAATAACGTTTTGATGGATCTTTCAAATTCTGGAACTGTACATATGAAGATACAATCCAAGAGAGGATGCATTTCTATGACTTATTTACAGTTCTGTGCATGTTTAACAAAAAAGGCCACAGCACCAAGTGTTTCTAAGGGCAAAGGTTAATTCTGTGTTACAAAAACAGTTTATGTAAGGGTGACAACAGAACATTTCAAAGCCTTGAGATCGTGACAGTTAACCGTCACTATTGAAATGAACTGATTTCACAGGGATGACAGTCAGAAAACCTAAAGTGAGTGACTGTAAAGCAAATGATGTGCTGTACACACTGTCAAAACAGCACAATATTCATGTAAAGTTAACATGCCTTGTCAAACAGACCGATTTAAAGTTGCTTTTGTAGTCTTTTGGGTGACAACATGTCCAGTCTTTTACTTTGGCAGGGCTTTTAAAGCAGTTAAGCACCATTACATTTCCATGTCCTCCTCCCCAGAGCTGTGGGCCACAGGAAAGCTGTACAAAGGAGAGTGTGTATCTGCAGGTAGACAGGAGGGGCTGAGTGGACTGTGAGGGGTGGGAGATGGACAGGGAGTTGAGGGTTGCCGAGGGCCTGTCTGTTGTTTACGGTGTTTCTGTAATGAGTCCTTTAGCCTCCGACAGAAGGGATCATCTGGTGGACGCCACAACACCAACTCCATGCAGGATTGGCTCCTGAAAGTATGAGGAAGAGTCAAGGGAGACAAAAAATAAGCATCAGAAGAAAAAATGATGGGTAGAGCTTTTCAAAGAGGAAACTCCCACCAGTGTTCATCAAATCACGTTTCTTCATTCAACGTTAAACATTCCAATAGCAAAATAAGGAGAACATACACAGACTGGGCTACGGTGTGGGGGAGGATGTCACTGATGCCATGCTGCAGACCCTCTTTCAAACTGTCAGAGATAACCAGCACTGGCCGTCTCGGGGCTGGCTCAACATCCAGATCTTCATCCTCATCATCTTCCAGCGTTATTCTGTGATACATCAACATCACAGTGTTCACTTAAGGGAACAGAGGGTACAGTATATGTTGTCACCTTTTATGTCACAACTTCCCAAACCCACAGAGGCTGATATAAATGAGGTGCTATACTAAGATGAAAGCCAACAAATATCTTGACAACGTAGGTGACTGCAACTGAAAGTCAGAGAACAGCATTTGAAATTTAGCAAAGAATTTCCTGACATACAGTATATGTACTGTATATACTGAAGCAGGTGATATGTAGAAGGTAATAATTATCACAAAGACAGGATTGTCATCAAACTGCTGAGTGATTATAGTTACTAAAGTATTTGATCTTTTTGTAACAGTGACCATTTTTAACTCGGTCTCATTCATTTAGTCATTAAAACAGTGATACAAAAATTATATATAGTTTTCTTTTTAACAGAACAGTAACCAGAGAGTGTAATGGTAACCAAATAAGGCTGTTACATGGTCAGCAATAAACCTGTAACATGCCTGTAGTCCATGGTAATAATTAACATGGTCTTTCTCTCAGTTTAACATCAGCCAACAGATGGTGGCAGAAGAATGCGGATGATTAATTAGCCATTTGTCATTTTTATGGCAAAACCAGCACTCAGTGTTAACAAATGTGGCAAGAAAACAAACATCTTTTCAAAACATTAAGCAAACACCAGTCTAACATGTTAACATGCCTTTGCTACAAAACTAGTAACAAGGTAATGTTAGATTGCTGATGTTGAGTTAACAGGTTTGCTAACGGTCCACAGGCACTAATGTTAACTTGTCTTTCACATTACAAAATGACTGGCTGACCTGTCCGGGTGCATTCTGAGGTGCCTGATAAAATGGCAGGTGCAGATGTTGCTGCTGCAGCTTGCAGTCATCTGTGGCAGCACGCACCATAACCATACATGTGTAAAGCTACACATAGGAAAGGTAATGACTTTTTCTTAACGCTAATGCACTTTAAAAAATAAATAAAATAAAGACTGTTTACAAGTCCCAAATCAATTCTGAGTTGAGTCTCAAGTCTTCTGAGGATGAGTCTCAAGTCGCTGTGTGCGCGATTTAAGTGCACCTTGAACACTGACTTTATATCAAAGCTGGACAAACCCACCATGATGTCACCAACTGGTTTTCTAAGTTTTGAAACTCAAGTCTGGCTGTCACCATATTGATAGTTTATCACTCTGCCTGTTACGTCTAATCCAAAAATGGACAAAGAGGAGGAGCATGAGTGGAGATGAGGCAAGCTGAATGGGTTGAATGAAGCCAGCCACCAGTGGCGGGACCCTCCTGCCTGTCATTCAAAGCAGTCACGCCCTTAGTTATGCACAACCTTTAGTCTAAATATATTTTAAACAGACAAGTTATAAAAACATTCAACCCCATACAGTTGTCATGGAAGGGGAAATTAACTATAGAGACCAAAACCGTTTTTGTACCAGGCTGTAAACATGTTTATTTCTGCTGTAAAGTTGGGTATTTTCACATGGGAGTCTATGGGGGCTGAATACCTTTTGAAGCCAGCCTCAAGTGGCCATTCGAGGAACTGCAGGTTTTGACACTTCTGCATTGGCTTCATTTCTCAGCCTCGGAGGCTGCCGCTTGGTCTTGGATCCAAGTCGCAAACTTGGGACTTTCTTTATGTTGCCTCACTTCTCTTAAGCCTTAGAGTCTGAGAAAACTTGCATCTAAACCCATTAATGCCTTCATTAGCAATGTCTTGTATATTTTTCTTCCTAGGTAAATGCATCAATGGCAGATACCAAATGTTTGGACATCCAAAAGTCTGGAGCATGGTAAATTATACTTTATCTAAATATTTCTTTTTGCACTTGTTTTACCTGTGATCACCAGATTCCAGGATGGCTAACCAGAGGAAGCATTTTTGGAGTGAAGTCTAATCCTGAAGAGCAGTCTGAGAGTTGGAAATTTCAAGTTTTCACAAACACTGCATGCTACATACCTGTGCTCAATCTCCTGAAGTTTCCTCTGAGCTGCCTCAATTTCCATGCAGGAGCTCTCCTCCCTTGTCTCAGGTCGACAAGGTTTAGGTTGCTGTGGCAAGGTCAGTAGCTGAGGTGCTGGGCAGGGCTGTGGAAGTGGGGGACTGGCTTGCTGTCTAGACAGGGGAGCGCAGCTGTTCGCTGTAGACCAGTCTTGATGAGGGTTAGCGGTTGAGTTCTCTGAAATCTCCACTTCGGCCTCAAGCATCAATCTTCTCCTTTTGGCAATGCATCCCCTGAGAAAGCAGTACGAAGTTAATATAACATGCCAATATAACAAAATAAGTATAACTTTTTTCTTTGCATTTCTCACATACTCATCATCAACTCTCCTCCTGTGCTTCCTGAGGCATCGTGTCTCCCAGCTGCGATGGGACAGACAAAACCAAAAACATTACACAAAACATGTCTAAGATTGGAAAGCTATTTCAAGTGCTGCCAATGTATTTCTGACAGATGCATGCATGGAATTTATTCCCCAAAATTATCAGCTACCTACTTGTTAGAGAGTGTTGCTCTCTGCAAGTGACCAGACGTACTTGTAGGTTCGAGCTCAAATTCAGGAAGGCTTGTGGGACCTGAAAATGAATACATGGCTGGCAGAAACCCTAGTTCACTGCTTGAGGGAGCAGACTGGTGCATGGTGGTCCAATTGATGAAATGATCTGGAGAGCCACTCGGGCAGATAACTGCAAAATAGATCTGAGCTTTAAAAAGAAAGTCTTTTCTGTAACGTACCTAACGCTTATTAAGTTATAACGCTAAATCTGTTTACAACAGTGACGTGCGGTGAGGTTGACAGCTGGTGAGGCACTCACTCTTTTACAGTCAGATTTACAAATACAAACTGTCTGTTACCAGACAATGCGTTATGTTTATCTCATACCAGCATTCTTCACACAATTGAGCTTATTTCTAACTAGAAATAATAAAAGTTTATGGTCTTACCTTTACTTGTACACGAAATCCATTTGTCAGCTGGTATGTATTACAAACCCTTTTACCGTTCGAATCCAATATTAAAACAAATGTTCTCAATAAAGAAGATCCTTCTGGACAAAAATGTCCAGACTGTCAAAAATGTTTTGATTGAAAGTCCAGATTTGCGAATTT